ACTACTACTACTACTACTACGACCACTACTACGACTACTACTACTACTACTACTACTACTATTACTACTACTACTACTACTACTACTACTACTACTACTACTGGTACTACTACTACTGGTGCTACTACTACTCCTACTCCTACTCCTACTCCTGCTACTAGTACTACTACTACTACTACTACTACTACTACTACTACTACTACTAGTACTACTACCACTAGCACTACTACTACTACTACTACTACTACTCCGACTACTTCTGCGACTACAACTGCTGCTGCTACTACGACTACTTCTACTACTACTACTACTACGCCTACTACTACTACTACTACTGAAACCACGACTACTTCTACGACCACTACTATTATTACTACGAGTACTACTACTTCTACTTCTACTTCTACTACTACTACTACTACTACTACTACTACTACTGCTACTACTACTACACTACTACTACGACGCCTACAACTACAACTACAATGACGTCTACGGCTGCGACGCCTACACTTATTACTACGATTAATATTACTGATTATCCGCCTGTTACTACGGCTACTACGACTACGACTACGACAACTACGACGACTACAAATAAGAGTACGACTACTACTGCTAGTACGACTACTACTACGCCTACTACTACTATGCTGTTGCTACTACTACGGCGAAAACGTCCACTACTACGACCCTTGCTACTACGACTCATACTACGGCTAGTACTACGACCTATACTACTACTGCTACTACTACTACTACTACTACTACTACTGCTACTGCTACTGCTACTGCTACTGCTACTGCTACTACTACTTCTCTCACGGCTACTACTACGACTACGACTACTACTACTACTACGACTACTACTACTACCACTACTACTACGACTACTACGACTACTACGACTACTACGACTACTACTACTACTACTACTACTACTACTACTACTACAAGCGCTACTTCTACAGTTGTTACTACTACTGCAGCGGCGACTACGCCTACAACAACTACAACTAATGCGACCACTACGACGACGACGACTACTAAAACGACTACTACCAAAAACAACTACAAATGCTACGACTACAAAAACGGCTACCACCACGACTTCTACTAGGACTAGTACTGCTACTTCCACTGCTATTGGTAGCACTACCACTACCACTACTACGGCCACGATCACTATTACCACTACGACTACAACCATTACAACGCGTGCTACTGCTGCCACTAGTAGTCTTAGTACTACTACTGCTGCTGCTGCCACTACTATTACTACTACGACGACTACTACTACTACTACTACTACTACTGCTACTACTACTACTGCTACTACTACTACTACTACTACTACTATTACTACTACTACTACCACTACTACCACCACCACTACTACTACTACTACTACTACTACTACTACGCATACGCATACAACCACTAAGACTACGACTACTACGACTACGACTGCTTTTTGGTACTACGACTACTACGAATACGACAATGTCTGACATTTCCACACAGGGCCGCATAGAGCGAAGCAAGACGGGCCGTTTGCGCGCATGTGCTGCGTGGTGAACGTGTCATGTGCCTGCGCGTCGTGTGTAGGTGTATGGTGTGTATGGTGCGTGTGCGGCACTATGTGGACTTGTGCACCATGTGGGTGCCGTGTGTTGTGTCGTGCTTCGCTTGCGTATGTTGCGTGTGTGTGTGTCTGTGTGTGTGCGTGCGTGCGTGCGTGCGTGTCTGTGTGTGTATGTGTTTGTGCGGCGAGTGAGTGCAGAGCATGTGTGAGTGTGCCTTGCGTGCGTATGTACGTTGCGTGTATGAGCCTGTAGGAGTACTGTGCTGCCGCGCCTGCAACAGAGGGAAGAGATGAGGAGGCGACGGGAGGAGACGCGGGCGGGACGCGGGTGGGAAGGGAACGATCACCCCACTGAGCATGTGGGGAACAACTCAACAGGCGCAAATAATACAACAACGCTCCGAGTAGAGGATCGACTACAGAATTGATTTACCCCCAAATTCCCTTACTCGTCGAATCATACGTAGAATGCTCGTAGATCTACGAACGCAGTCGGGGGAGAGAGGCGAGCAGTGCTCCTACGAGGCGAGCAGTGCTCCTACTGGGTTTTTGTAGAAGGCCAGGGGGGAGGCGTCGGGCGGGGGGGGGGAGAGGGGCCGAAAGGAGAAGGGCAGGAGGACGGGAGAGGAGCGGGGAAGAGGGGTCGAAGAGCGGGGGGGTAGCGGGTCTAAGGTCGAGGGTCGGGGGGAGGGAGACATGGGAGTAGGATGTCAGGTGCGGCGTGAGCACACCACACTACATTGCTGTGGTGTTTCCATCCCTCTCTCCTCCCTGCCTAACCCTCTCCTCTCCATCTCCCCTCCTCCCACCTCCCTCTCCCTTCTCCCCTGCTTTCCTCCTCCCCTCCCCCCACCTCCCCCATCATATGTTCCCCACCCCACCTGGAGCAATTACACAACATGAGTACTGCTCTCTTTCATCTCTTCACGGATATGTTTTCCGATTGGTTCGCGTGGATTGTAACCGATGTAACGAATAGCGTGTCCGCCGCCAGCCCGGGTCGCGGGCCGACAGGCCAGGACGCGTATTGAAACTCTACTGCGTGCCGCCAGCCCAGGACGCGTGGCTGTCAGCACTGGGCCCGCGCACTGGCGCACTTGCAGCGCAATCGATACAAAACGTGGCGCTGTGCTGGGGTTCTACTGCCAGTCGCCACTCGCTTGTGGCAGCTTCCGTCCAGAGACACTGCACCCCGACACCGCACCCCACCCCAAGGCCGCTCTCATCATGCGACGAGCGCCTGGTAGCCCGCCGGCTGGGACGTCACCCTCGCCGCGCGGCGGCGCAGCGCCCAGGCGCCCGCGGCGAAGACGAGCGTGGCGGCGCCGCAGAGCCACGCGGCCCCGATCGCGACGTTCTGGGCGGCCATGCGCTCGGAGTGCTCCTTGTGCTCCACCAGCAGCTCGATCTCCTCCGCGGTGGCGTTGCGGGCGACAGCCTCGGCGAGCGCGGCGGTGGACGCGACGCACGTGTGCTTGCCGTCCTCGTCGGTCTCGACGCTGTAGCCCCACTTGCACATGCACAGGCCCTTCTCGCAGAACGAGGTCGTGAGGCCGGCGCTGTAGCAGAAGCGGGTGAGGTGGCACGTGGCGTCGGGCACGCGGGCGACGCAATACCGCGACTGGACGTGCGTGGTGCTGGCCGGGTACCTGCAGTAGCCGTCGTTGCAGTAGCAGCTGCCGAGCGTGCAGTGTGTCGGCCCGCGGCTCGCGGAGCACCCGAAGATCTTGCAGCTGCCGACCGAGCCGGTGTTCATGGCCGAGGGGCAGTCCGAGAAGAGGCCCTGGCCAGCAGCGCAGCCGAGGAGGCACAGGCCAGCGAAGCTCACGAGAAGGCTCGCCATTGATGCACTTGGGGGGGGCGCGATGGGCAAGACTTCGGTCTCACCCAGAGGGTAGATGCTTGCGCCTCAGTGCTCGAGACGAACGTCCTGAGCCAAACAGCGACGAACCTATCCCCACTGGTACTGTCCAGTGCTGCGGCCGATTCTCTCGCGTACTGCTTCCTCCCACTGGGGTTCATGACACGGTACTTCGGATGGCTTTGTTCGATCGGAGCGTGCTCCGTCCTTGAAACATTGTGCTCGCGCTGCAGCGTTGACCACATTTCAGGATCGAGGGATGGCGCTTTGCTCCCGTCGCTGAGAATGGCGCAGATCTAAATTCTGGATCCGACTCCTTCCTCGTCACCCAATTTTCATGCTCTGGCTGCGTTTCCTGCTCCTCGTACCCTCCTCCACCTGCTGATGTTGATCCTGCTACTCCTTTTCTCATCATCATGATTAGCTCCCTGCTGTTTGTCCTTCAGCTCATCCGTCACCTCCTCCTCTTCCTCCATTGTGCAAGCCCACCGTCCTTCTGTTTGCGCATCACACAAGGGGGTTAGTTGGGAGATCAACGTTCTCTAGGACAACCCAGCCTGCGCATACAATAAGATCAGCGCAGTGGGAAAGAACAGCTGGCAGATACGGCGCGAGCGCACCTGGCTTGATACATTCCCTCTCCGCCCACTCTCCCTTATCCCCCGCTCCGTCCACTCCCACGGCTCCCATTCCCCTTCCTCCACCCATCCCCATTTCCCCTGAAGATGAGGGGGGATGGGGGGAGGGAGGGGAGGAGGAGGAGGAAGGAATAAGGAGTCGGAGGAGAGAGGAGGAGTGGGGGAAGGAGGAGGGAGGGAAGAGGAGGAGGAGGAGGAGAAGGAGGAGGAGGAGGAGGATGGAAGAGGATGGAGGAGGAGGAGCTGCACCCGCTCGCTCCCACGCTCGCACGCCGCTCCCCCACGGCAGGCGGGGCTCCGGGATGACGCAGCCGCCCTTCTTGCCGATGAGCTCCTGGAAGTCCTCGGGGCGGCGGAGGATCAACAACAAGGGCTCCCAACTTCGTGCTTCGCGCTGCGCGGAGCACGAAGCGCGAATAACTTCGCGCTCTCGCGCCGCCTCCCAGGGAAGAAGAGGAGGATGAGGAGGAGTCGGAGCCGAACCACGAAGCGCGAAGCGCGAATAACTTCGCGCCCTCGAGGGCGCCCTTGAACAATGCCGTAAACTCATGGCAGGTCCATGTCGTGACGGTTTGCAGGCTGGTTCCTGGCACCGACCTTGACTGGTCGCGGCTCTCCGACAGAGCAGTTCCATCTAGAACGGCCGACTCTGAGCCACCAGCGACGTTCAGCCTCGAATGCCCGAGCTGGGGTCGCCGCCTCGTCGACACGACACGAATGGGCCCTGCTTCAGAATGGCCCCCCCCCTGGCCCCTGCGGGCAGCACGCTCTGGCAAGGAACTCGGGGCGAATCCGCCCGTGGCGGCGAGAAGCCTCCAAGAGACTCCCTCAAAAAGTACGGAGAAGCTAGAACAAGTGGATTCTGCCAGGGGAAGCCAGAAATCGAACCGTGGCGGTGAGAAGCCGAAAACTGCATAAGCATAGTAAGCTGTTGGAGGTCAGCGCGGATTTCTTGGATCTGCGCTGGACCCCCTCCCTGCTGGCGCGCGGAGCGCGACAGGGACGGCGCTGGAGGCGCCGCCAGGGGGGTCCAGCGCTGATCCAAGGAATCCGCGCAGAGCTCCAAAATTGTATGTTTATGCAGTCGCTTCATCTTCGAAACTCCTTCGCTGCGAGAGGCGGCCTGGGCATTCGACGCCCCCGCAAGACGAGGCCAGGACAAGGATAAAAACGGGTTAGGATGAATCGAGAATCTCTAAGATCTGGCGACTCCTGGTCAAGATGAATCAAGAATCTCTCAAATCTGGCGGCTCTGGAAGCTGTTTCGGGCGCCGCGGCCTCCTCAGAGCATTCCGGAACGCTCTGAGAGCGTTCTGGAGCGCTATGGAGCAGAATTCTCCTCGTCCTGGCGCCGTCCGAGCTGGAGGCCTCGTAGATGGGATCGGAGTAGATGGGGTCGGAGAAACGCGCTGCATCGCCGATGCCTCGGCGATGCAACGTCGACATCGGCGATGCACCAGCGACGTCGGCGTGGAGAGCGTCGGGCTGCATATGAAGTCGCATAGCCGATGCATCGGCGATGCGGCGCGATTCCTAGATGAAGGAAAAAACACATAAGCATAAACTTTCAGCGCTCCGCGCGGATTTCACGGATCCGCGCTGGACCCACTCCCTGGCGCGCGGAGCGCGCCAGGGGCGGCGCCGGAGGCGCCGCCGAGGGGCCCAGGCGCGGATCCGAGAAATCCGCGCGGAGCGCCAAAAAATTATGTTTATGTGTTTTCTTTCTCCGAATCCCCCGGCCCCACCTGCTTGGACCCCCTCTGGGAGACCTGCGCGAGCTCCTCCAGCCCTGCGGCCACTGCCTCGCCGACGGCGGCGGCCACCGCCTGTGGGGCCCCCGCCCGCCACGCGGCGGCCAAGCTCCGCCTCGCGGCGGCCTCGCGGGCCCACGCCTCCGTGCCCTGGGCGCCGGACCCGGAGATCCAACGCATTTCGAGCCCAAAACGGCCCCACGTCCCCAAAAACTGGCTCACGTGTCCCCAGAACTCGAGCACAAAACTGACTCACGTGGCCCAAACTGGTTCCCAGATGACTGCAGAATTGACGTACGCACCCCAAAACTAATTTACCCGTCGAATCTACAAAAAAAACGTCCTCGGCCTAGCCCCGTCCGGCCCGGGCCGCAGCCTCGCTCCCGAGACGGGTCCCGTAGATACCTCGAAGCGCCCGCAAGCAGAAGACGACCGAGGACAAGCCCAGCACAATTCAACGATGCTCCACCGACCGCCACGGAACCCCCATAGGACGTCAAGTAGGAACATGAAAAAGCGACAACAACACCACCAGGGACCACCAGCGCGAGGAGCCAGGGGTGGTCCCCCTGGTGGTGTGGTCCCCCCTCTCGCTCGAGTCATCCCCTATCCCCAGCTCGGGGAGGCATCGTGGACCTCGTCGCTGGAGGCGGCCCCCCTGGTGGTGGTGATGGTGAAGGTGGTGGTGGCGTCGTTTCTCCCTCCCTGGAGTTAAGGGGTCGGGTTCGCACAAGTAGACAAGCGCGCTCCACGACTCGCAAAAGTAAGTACTCGCACATGGCCTGGATCCGCCGCGAGGGGCTTACGATCCTTCACATCGTGGCGTCGTGACGAACTTGTGGTTGTCGGACGTTTGCGAGTAGGCACTCCACGAGTACAGTCGGACCTAAGCCAGAAGAACACCCCTCAAGAGCATGAGACCCTCCGTCGGCCAAAACACAGAACGTCTCAGGGTACCCTCCCCAGGAGGCACAAGAACACCCACCATAACACGAAGATCGCTAGGGGACCTCCGCACCGACCTCGATCGTATTCCTCGGTCCGACTGCAATGGAACGCGCTCGGAGAACAAGGCTTTGTAGCGCGCTCAACGACTCGCAGAATAACTACTCGCAAATGGCCTGGATCCGCCACGAGGGGTTCACGATCTATTGCATCGAGGCGATTCGAATGTGTGTTTCTTCCGGACGTCTGCGAGTAGGCACTTTGCGAATACAGTCGGACCAAGGCCAGAAACATATCCCTCGAGAACATGAGACCCTCTGTCGGCCAAACACACACAGAACACTCAAGGGCAGCCTCCCCAGGATGCACAAGAACACCTAGCAGACACGAAGAACACTAGGAGACCCTCCCCTCACCGACCTCGATCTTCTGCCTCGGCCAGACTGTGATGGAACGCGCTCGGTGAACAAGCCTTGGCAGGGCGCGGGCTAAGGCGTGGGGTCCGCACAAGCCTCTGCCTCGCCATCGCTCGGACGCCCATTCCCCGTGCCTTGCTCGACTTCGTGCCACTTTGCATTGTTGTCGCATGAGCCCACTGGCTTCTCGATGGTCCTCGCCGAGACCACATGCACATGTCCGAGCGATGCCAAGCGGCGGGAACCCGCCCCCCAGGTCCTGCGCCTCCGGGCCACCGCCGGGCGCCGGCGGCGCGGCGGCGGGCGCCGCGGCGGCCGCCGCGGGGCCCTGCCTGGCCACGCCGCGGGGCTGCCGCGCGGCCGCCGGGGTGGGGCGTGCGAGGCCGAAGAGAAGGAAGGACAAGAGGACCCCGAATCCTTGTGGGAGAGGGCCTGAGGTAGGAGGGCCAGGAACATGAGGGGCAGGGGGGGTGGCCGGGGTGGGGCATCCGAGGCCGAAGATGATGAATGAGCGACGAGAGGGCTCCGAACCCTTTGGGGGAGGTTTCGAGGGCCAGGGAGATTAGGGGGGCGGGGGGTGTCTTCCGCAGATGTGTGGAGCCAAACCGCCCAGGATGTTTATCCCGAGTGCTAAGACGGGGCCTAAGTGAGGCCACGTCGTCACTGTGTTGTTAGGGTCAGGGGTTCTTCCATCCTCGATGAGAAGAAGCGCTTGGATTGTCGTCGTCGTCTTGGTCGTCTCCGAGGTCGTCATCGTCGTCCAGAACCCCTCGACCCTCGAAAGAATCACAAAATTGTCAATCATTTTCGGCCTCTGGGGGCGCTTACCGGGCCTCGGGGGCGTCAAAAAACGGCTCAGGATGAAACACAAGTCCAGGGGAATGGGTCGAGACCTCTGGGGGTCGACGTCATGAACGAACTTATCATATATCGGTGGTCTGGAGATCCTGGCAACACCACGATTTCGCAGCAGGCGTTCGTGCCGGGTTGCGGGCACTGGGGCCATCACAAGTAGCTCCAGCCCGAGACATGCGCCGCAAGAAGATGGGCTCTGGGGCTCTGCTCGTGGTTGCCCCAATGCTCCCTTTTCTTTCGGGAGGTCAGATCTCAGGGACCAGAAAAGACCGCAACCACAGTTGAAGCCACAGCGGTGGCGAGCGCGCACCGCGTGCGTGGCCCGAGCGGGAGCGCTGCTCGGCGAACCGTGCACGGGCGGACGGGAGACGGGAGAGAGCGGCCGCGGGGGACGAGGAGAGAGAAGGGCGGCGCACCTCGAACCAGGGGGGGGACCGTGGGCCGCGTGGCGGCCGGGAAGCTGAAGACACATGGCTGAATCTGCGCTGGACCCACATTCGGCGGCGCGCAGAGGAGTAAGTAGCGGGGAGGGGGAAAGGCTTCTTAGAAGAAGGCTGCTTCTTGGAAGGCGTCGGC